AAATATACAAATTTATATGAGCCGCCTTAATGAAAAGCGCTTACGAAAGCATCAACATTTCACAGATGCGACAACGAGCTGGCGAATGTTCCTGGAGCTGGAGCTGGGGGGAGATGGAGAAGGAGGAGCTGGAGGCGGAGGCGGGGCATCCCAAACCGAATTTCATGCTTAAGCTCTGTAAAATTAACATTTAATTGAAGCCTACATTTCGGCGCCACGGGCTCTGCGTAAAATTAACAAAAAATAATGCCACGCCCACGCCCACGCCCCCTGGCATCCTGGCCAGGATGCGCAAGGCAAGTGCAAATCCCTGGATACAGTCCAAACGATATGCAGCCCAGGCGGACGGACGGTCGGACGGACGGACGGACGGACGGACAGGCCGCGGTGAGTGCATGTTTTGATAGCGTAAATTATGTTATAAAATTTATTTAATTTCACTTTTGCTGCTGCTGCTCCATCCGCACGCTGAACGTTTTGTTGCCAGGCCCCGCAGCCAAAATGGGCGCCTGCCATGCGAGGCACACACACACTCCACACACACACACACACACACATGACCCTCTCAACTGGTCGCCCTCTGTTTTCCCCAGTGTATTGCAAATTGTGCAGAGTCCTCTGCCGCCTGCCATTTGCCCCTTGCCCCTTGTTGCCCCGGCTTGTTGCTCCCGGGTCCAACTGCTGCTTGGCTTCGCGTGCCCGGCGCGCATATTTATGTCTGGCAAGAAACATGCAAACATTTCGTTGGCATTGGCCAGAAATGAAATGGAAAGCGCAGCCAGGTGAGTAAACAACACACACACGTGTGCGAGCATGTCTGTGTGTGTGTCTGTGTGTGTGTCACAGATATTGGCAATCCTTAACTGCATGCCTTAATCTCTGTGCGACGAGAGCCAGAGATGACATCGTGATCTTGTTGCTCTAATCAGGAATAACTCCTGGTGGTATCTCATCTCTTCCCCAACACGCCAATTTTATAAGAGCTCATATTTTACTTAACTTATTTGATTAATCTGTCAGGTTTCTCCCTTTGCTGTCAAAAACTTCTCGATAATTGAACTCTAATTAATTTAAATTAAAACAAAAAATACTTTCTCTCAGTAGGAGGCTATCTTCGAGGACTTCGAACCAAAAGAAAGCTTCAATTAGCTCGTCAGTTAGGATTAAAACTCTTTTGCTTATACAGAAGAAATGTTTCCAGATCTTAACTGTACTCAAAGTACACTCATTCCGTCCACTCTAATAAAGGACAACTCCTTGGTCCGTGTTAGTTCATCTCTTTTTGGAATGAACAAACAAATTTCTCGTGTCAAACATTTTACTCTAATTGGTCTCTAATTTATTTAAGTTAAAACAAAAAATACTTCCCCTCAGTAGAAGGCTGTCTTAGCGTTTGCTTTCGAACCAAAAGAAAGCTTCAAAGAGCTCGTCTTTGAAGACAAACTCTTTTGTATATATAGAAGAATTGGTTCTACTCTCGTCTTAGGATAAGAACTCCTTATTATATATAGAAGAATTGTTTCCACTGTCCAGATCTTCACTCCATTCAAAGTATTCGCATCACGCGCTCATCTCTAAGCTGGGCAATCGTTCAGCTGCTTTCGATTGGGCGGGGCGCAGGGCTTAAACGACTGGGGTCCGTTTAAATAATTAAATACCAATGACACTTAAACGTAAATCATGAATTTTGCAAGGGTTTCACCGAAGGGCCACGTGCAGGACACGCTGCTGCTCGATAAGACACATTTACGAAATGGCAAAGACGTGGAGGTAGCTCCAGTTTTGGGCCAGCTCGCCGGACCGTTAACAAAGACGGAAAATGTCAACGCCGCCGGAAACAACACCACCAAAAAATTACTGTTGCAAAATGCTGGACAAGTTTCCGCTCCCAGCTCGGAGCTTCCTGCAACGGCAACGGCAACTGCAACAAATCCCCAGCTGCTCAGCTCTAACATTCCATGCAACAACAACAACAACAACAATGGCAACAAGAGGCTCTAGTCGGGAGCTCCCGACTAGGGGATACCCTAAACTCTCTTCTTCCAGCAGGCGTATAAAATGAAAGATACTTGATATATATAAGCAATTCTAGAAGCTACATGTCAAGTTTGACGACTCTAGCTCTTATAACTTACGAGATTTGCTCAAAAAACAGGATTCCGATATCGATTTTTTTCGATTACTTGGAAACGGGGCAAGTTATCGAATATCGGAAACAAACTTGATCTGCGCGAGCACTAGGAGGACCTTCAGCTAAATTCAATTTCAAGTCTCTAGCTCTTATAGGTTCTGAGATCCTTGCGTTAATACATACGGACGGACGGACGTACGGACAGACAGACGGACAAACGGACGGACGAACATGGCTAGATCGACTCGGCTAGTGATGCTGTTCAAGAATATATATACTTTATGGGGTCGGAGATCGGACGGACATTTGCACAAATACATTATACCCCCTTTACTCATTTTCAATGATTACAGGGTATAACAACAATGTGTGTGTGTGTCCAACAATTTGTTGCCGCAGACAAAGGCAAAGTCAATGTCGCCAGAGTTGTCAACGTTGTTGAAAGTTGCCTTAATTGCAGTTGTTGTTACTGCTGTTCTTTTTACGGTTGTCGTGCATAAAATATGCTGCATACTTCGTGGGCCCCCCCCCCCCCCCCCCCCCGGCGCTCGGCAAAAAAGGTTGCCACTGCCATTGGCGTTGCCACCGTGTCCGCAGGCCGCCTTTCATGCTGTTAATTATTATTATAGACGTGCGAGCGTCCATCTGTCTGTCTGCACAAGCACAAGCGACCACATGCAATAAAACAGCACTTAGACACACACGCACACACACACACGCACACACACACACACACACTTGCACACACACATGGACATGGGGACAACTACATGGATGTCTAGTCCGTTTGAGCCATCGCCCAGGCAAATAGCCAAACGGCGCACCGGGGAATACTTTACCAAATTGCACTACCCCTCAGTCTCACAGTCTCCCCCTGCTCCCGCTCCAGCTCCAGCTCCAGCTGGCATCCTTTGGCCAACTCATTTGACTGCACGCTTTTGTCGTCCTTTCATCTCACTAAATATTTTTGCTCATAGACGCCTTACACGTGTGCGCCCGTGTGTTTATTTGTGTGTGTGTGTGTGTGTGTCTGCGAGCTGCTTTTAGGCATTTAACTTCTTTTTTTCTGTTGCTTTAATATATAAGAAGAAAGAACGAAGATGGAATACTCTTAAAAAAAATTTGACTTAAAAGTTCTAAGATTCATTTTCGAGCGATATTTCCAATAGTTTCCATATTATATATTAGACCGATTTAATAGGGCTTTGCTGATAGTTGCCAAGTTCGGATTGGATATCTTGAGAGTCAAAAAGTTATTTATGTATATAAAAACTCTTCCTTCGACCGATTCTTCCCAAGGCAGATATATAGTAGTATAGTAGTATAGTATATAGATTATATAGTAATCCATTCCTGATACGATTTTTCTTATATTCAAAAAACAGAGTAAAAACAATAAACGTCAAGTTTGGTCAACATACCCACATAAAACAAAACAATTTTTCATACAATAACTTAATTTTCGACCGATTGTTCCTAGGGCAGCTATATGATATAGTGGCCAAATTCGGCCAATTCCGACAAGTGTACTCCCAGCTACAGATGAACGCAACAAAATTTTTAATTTCATCAAGACAGTTTCAAAAGCTGAGTGTCAAAACAGTCGGGGCTGCTCTTGATACTGATCAAGAATATATATATTTTTATGGAATTAGAGTTCTGGTTTAGCATTACAATATCCAAGATCCCTCTGTTACATCCTAATTAAAGCTACTTTGGAACCTGCGGGAAGCAGGACTATTGCTAGGCATTCCAGAATTTCCAGGAATCGACTAAAAACTGTATGAAAAATGTTAAAACTCAAATATCTCGGATAAATAAGGAACGATTTTCGAATGCATTTTGGAAATATATATATATATCACGGAAATCGATTGACATTCAAAAACTTCCATTCTAAAATTTGACTAAATTTGATAAATATATCAAAGGGGTTACATTAAAAATTTTGATTAAATTGAGTCGTTTCTGAAATGAAATATTTTTTGATTTCTATATATTCCATAGTCTTACGAGTCCAAAATGACATATCTGTCCAGGATCGGACCTCTAAATTGAAACATTTTTAATTCCTTTATATTCTATAGACTCTTACGAGTCTAAAATGCCATATCTTTCCCAAGATCCGACTTCAATTAAGCGAGTTGTGTACACTTAAAGTTTTTCTAATTATTCGAATATGTCTCAATCTAATTGATTTATTTATTTTATCTATAAATAATTGTAATTTCCACTGCCTCTCCAATCCGTCCAGTCTGCAAGGTGTGCTCCAATCTCTGCTGATCCACTCGAGCCTAGGTCTTGGGCGCAAATCCGTCTAAGAAGTTGGCTGCCAGCTTATCATGAGGCGAGCTGCTCGGAGAATAAAAGGGGGATTGCATTTAAAAGACATTATTGCGTTTGCTTTTGTTTTATTTGTGGATTTGCTGCAAGGTGCGCTAATCGCCGGCTAAGCTGACCCGGAACCGAGCAAGTGGCTAAGCCAAAAATCAGCTAATTAGCTGACACTTTGTCTTCGGGGCCACTTAATTAGCCGCTGCTTGGATTTGCGTCCCGCACCTACAGTTGGTTGGCGGGGACAATTGCATTCCAGTTGCGTAACAGAAATGGGCGCCAATTAAAGTTGGACCCAACTGACTCCCAATTGGCGCCAGACAAAAGTTCGTGGCGCATATTCAAACTTTTTGTGTGTGTGTGTGATTTAATTCCATTAAAATTTGCGCGCAGCATGAAAAAAAACGCATTTACAAAAATAACAATTGCGCGAGAGAAACGAAAGAGAGAGGGAGAGAGAGAGAGAGAGGGAGAGAGTCAGTTGAGACCGTTGTCAGAATGAAAATATTTCCATTGCTAATACAATTTTGGCTCGTATTTTATACAGATTTCTCGTTTGCACTAATTAAATGTGTAAATTTTGCAACGTTTTTTAATTGAATGCGACAAAATGTCTACAAAAATTAAGCGAAACAAATTGCGTGGACAAAGTATTGTCCGATTCGGCTAGTAAAATTGTTGCAAATGTTAACAAAAGTTGACAACAATTTCGAAATGCTAAGCAAACATTTGGTGCGCAGGCAAGTGCAACTTATGCATTAGATTAGTTAGAATAGAATGTTATAAAAAAAAGAGAATAATATTCGACAGGTCAGACAATAAAGCAGGGTATACAAGCAAAAGTTCCTCCTACTATTCCTCCTTGTTCTCCAGCGCCGGCACCTCCCAGTACTGTTCGTCCTGGTGCTGCTCGTCCTTTTGCAGATTCCGAAAGCTGGTGTACTTTAAGACGGCACCTGTTTCGGTTACCAAAATTTAATTATACGCTCCTTGACGTTAACTAACTCGCTACGCACCTGTCAAAATGCCGCCGCCGATGGCTATGAGCAGGGTCAGGGCAATGCCGAAGAGTTGATAGCCCGCCTGTGTGCTGGCATTGCGTCCCAGGCCCTGCAACATGGTCGTGGATTAGCTTGTGTTTGTGTGAAAGTAAATAACAATTGCAGCTGGCGCCAACTTACGCCCATAATTTGGCTCGACGTGCTGTTGCTGCCGACCATGGCTGGGAAAATGTCCTGCAGCTCCGATTGATAGTCGTCCGCGGTGGCCAGCGAGGCGTAGATGGCCGAGGCGATGGCCGATATCAGCGCCGGCATGCCGTGCAAATTGTGTACGCCACACGTGTCATGTAGTCGCAGCTGGCTGGTCAACCACGGCTGCAATTTACAGAGTATAACATATTAGATTAGGGTATAACATATTAGATACATGCGTTCTATGAAAGTTCTACAAACAGATGTCTCCCAATCTCCCATAATTCATATACAAATTGCACTAGCAACAATTAGAGCTTTGTTCCTTTGTCATTTATCCCCAACATTCATAAGAATATTCACAAATTTGAAGCTTAATTATTAATTTGACTGAGAATGTGAAGTATGTTCTGCTAAAAGGACTTTTGGAATGCTAAGCAAAGTTCTTTAACCCCGCTGCTGCAATGCATGTCAAAGTTCAAAGGGAATCTACCATTTCTTTTTGTGCCCCGAACTGCTTAAAAGGGGTAGCTTGTTTTTGTGCTAATTTATGTAACAGACAGAGGACAGCAAGTCATAAATATAGGAGGAGGCAAAGACTTGACATAAGAAATATATATAATATCTTATGACAAAAGCATTACAATTATATTTAGAGGTCGTTGGATCTTTCCAGTTTCGGATTAGCATTAAATATTTTACAGCTTGGCTTTAAAGACATGCCGAAAATTATAAGACACAAGCATGTAGGTTAGTTTGGGTTCCATATATAAATAGGAGTATAATTGGAGAAGCTAATCAAGAACGCATTTCCCATGATGTGGGACAAAGGGAAAGCTGGCTAACATGCTTGCAACGGCAGCTTGGCCCGGCTTGGCCTGGCTTTAGGGTACCTACTAGTCGAGCATACCCCTACATGTTCACTTTGGCGTCTAATTAAACGTTATTAAAGTGCAAAATGTGCAACTGGACCGCGGCCGTTGGTCATTTATAAAAGTGTGTACATTTATTTACACACACACACACCTCCGCCGGAATGGCACAGCGCATACGGACGGACAGATGGGGGGAGGGGGATGCAGCCGAGGCCGGCGGGCAACAAACTTTACTCATTAGCGTCACACATTTTTGCTAGGCGCACTAATTAAAACGCAACAGACGACACCACGGTCCAGTTCCAGAGTGCAGCAGAGCCTAATGTTGGTTGCAGCCAGCTAGCTTCCCTTCCAGCTGCAGACTCCATTTTGAATAACGCCTCGTGTTTGCATGGATTACATGCATAGATAGTCCAGGTGTTCCTCCTCCCATTAGTGTGCAGCTTTCTCTCTGAATTCTTTTTTTTTTTTGGTGGGGCAGTTGAACTTACGGTTAAATAGCGATAGCCGAGCACCGAAACCGTGCCGGCGATAATGCCAATTAAGACTGCGCCGTGCGCGCCGAGCAGCAAGTTGCAAACGGTGCCAACGGCAACGCCGCCGGCGAGCGTCGAGTTCTGCACGTGCACCATATCCAATTTATTCTCATGGCTGACAAGTGCCGATACAACGAAGGTGGTCACTGCAAACGGAAGAGAGAGAGAGAGAGAGGGGGTTACAACAACATACAACAGAAAGGCGCACATCAACTCCACTCCAGTATTTCAAGTGTCCCAGTCCCAGTGAGGCTATGCCTGGTGTAGTTTTCATTGTTTTGGCCCCCAATTCATGCTGCATCTTGTTTAATTTTTGAGTAGTTTATAAGTGAGCATCCAATTTCAATTGAATGCAATGCAAACACATTTTCAACGACTTTTGCAATTTTGGCGTTTTCGATTATTCTGCTATGAGTACTTATTGGTTTTTGGCCACTGTCGATAGTTTTGCACGATCATCGATAGTTGTTTGGCAATAATAGTAGCGTGTGCTCTGGTCACACTGTTTCGCTCTCTCGCTAGCGAAAGAGCGGCTTAGCCGCCAAAATTATTGTTAATGGCGCGATTTATAGTGCGTGAGTGCTTTTAAATATTCAGTTCGCTAATTTATCTACGATTTCGGGCAAAATAGGGATTACATCGGTGTAAAGCTTTCTTACTGGACATCAGTAGAGGCCATTGCAGGCTGTGGTTGTGTAGTGCAAGCCGCAAAATATAATTAAAAGTGCGTAACGGCGAATGTGTATGTGTGTGTGTGTGTTTTTTTTGTGTATTTTTTTGTGTGTTCATTAATTGGATTAAAAGCAAAGTAAATAATGTCTAACTGCTGATGCCTTATGGGACAGTAATGAAATATGAGTTGATGGTAAGTTCTGATAAGATTGTTTTAAATATATAACTTATTAAAGCACAAGCCTCAAGAGGTATGGATATATATGTATGCATGCATGTACATATGTATGTATATATGTGGTACATACTGGAAGGTGTCTAATGGGAATGTGTGTCTGTTATTTTTTCGTATCCATTAATTGGATTAATAGAAGCACAAATATTATCTTATTGGGAAATGCATGTCTTATTGGCGAACGATGTTATGAGCATGTTGAGCATGGCTAGTTCAGATAAGAAACTTGAAGATTATCAACTTTTTAATGTGAATTTGTATATGTGTGTGAGTGTGAGGCTTATAAGCATTAATAAAATAACAAATATCGTCCAATAAGAAAATGGACTGGTAAACTTAAAAATTATGAGAATGCGGGCTAGTTCATATAAGATTGTTTAAGATTCGCAACTTTTTAATGTGCATATGTATATATGTGTGAGTGAATGTATGTAAATGCTTAAGAGCGTGAATGGGAAACAGAGTTGCCAACTCAGCTACTTTCTGATTAGCAGCCCTGCTTATTCCCAATATGTGTTTTCTTTAGTATTGGGTACGGCTATTTTTTGTAGCGACAGTTGGCAACAATGTTGCCTCAGCTTAGAGTTGGGAGTCTGTCGTGTTTTTTTTTCGTGACACGAATTGTTTGGGGCTTAATATTGAAATTTTCGAGCATCTCAGATTAGTTGACTGCGTTGCTTATCGTATTGCTGCGTGTTTCCCAACTTTTTTGTCGTCTTCTAAAAATACCTTAATGGGCGCCATCTCTAGCTGAGCTCCATTTGGTAACGACAGGATTCTCTCTTAAATCATCCAAGCGAAGCAAATGGGAATCACAGGCCACAATGCTCGATGCCACAACCGCAGTTCATAAACACAAAACTAATAAAAATGTAAACAAGGCAACGGACGAGTCCCCGTCCTCCTCTCCGTCCCTGTCCTCGTCTCCGTCTCCGTCCCTGTCCTCGTCCTCGTCCTGTGTCCGGCTGTCGTCCGGGCAACAACAGCAATGGGGCACACTTCAGTTTATTGGACTGGCAAACATAAATCTCCGCAAAAATAACACTAAATACTTAAAAATCTTCATTTTATGGCGAAACATATGTTGCAGCAATAATAATTTGCATAAATTAGTTAATACGGGACACCGCTCGGTTTCTGTGGCAACTGCAAATAAGCAAATCACAGCCGGAGCAGCAACAACAACAACAACAACGAGAACAACAACAACAATCCGAACCGCAACAATTTTAGAAACAGCTTTTGACATTGTCCAGGCGACACAGAATTACGAGTACTGCAAATTCTGGCTTAAAAATCAATTAAACAGTATTTTTACTGCCGGGTGGGGCGAAAAGCAAAGTTAAACCAGAGCCAAGTCGAGATTTCGGGGCGTCAGTTGTTTCTAACTTGTTGTTAAAGTCCATACCCCTTGAAAATGGACAACAATCGGGTATGTTGCAGCTGGGTTAAGGTATGTGACAGGCCGAAAGGCGACATTTGGCACTACGAAAGTTATATATATTCGGGGTCAGACGGATCGAAGACTTTAAGAACTGGAAATAACAATTTTTAGAGTATAAATCCTCATTTATAGAGCATGTGAAGCATACGCATTTCCAGGGTATTTTACTTTTTTAAGGGCATTAAAAATAGCCTCCAATCAGGGAAGAATATTGAATGTTACAGCAGCTCGAAGTTGTGTACAGGGTATGCCCTAGTTGAGCACTGTCGACTGTTGTAAAAAATACATATTTCCAGGGTATTTTACATTTTTTCAACATATTAAGATTTATCAACAGTTGGAAAGTAATTTATATATGTTACAGCAGCTCGAGGCTGTGTACAGGGTATGCCCTAGTCGAGCACTGTCGACTGTTGTAAAGCATACAGAAATCGAGGGTGTTTTACTTTTTTCAGGGTATTGCGAATTTTCGACAATAAGAGAAGAGAATAATATATGCTACAGCAGTTCATAGCTGTGTACAGGGTATGCCCTAGTCGAGCACTGTCGACTGTTGTACAGAAATCCAGGGTATTTTACTTATTTTCAAGGTATTCAGAATTTTCTACAATAAAGAGAAAAGAATATTATATGCTACAGCAGCTCGAATCTTTTTACAGGGTATGCCCTAGTCGAGCACTGTCGACTTGTGTTGTTGTTGCCTGCATATTTAACAATTTAAATTAACGCCAATGGTGTCACTTGTGACTATAAAATGTGTTTTGCCCAATGCGGGCGACGGCGACACAAACTGACCAGGACTCGGACTAGGACCAGGACTTGGCCGGGGACGGAGGGAGGGAGGAGGGGTCCAGAACAGGGCGGGGCGGGGCCCAGGCTCGTTTTGAAGTTGGTGTGAAAACAACAACTGGGGCGTATTTTGCTGTTGGCGCCGCATTTGAACACCAAATGGCGTCGTCTGCTGTGCATGTCGCAGCGCCCGCATACACACACACACGCACACACACACACACACACACAGACACACACACACACACGCCTCTAATTTCAGCATTGAACTGAATGCCCAGCTTTAGTTTAATTAAGGCAACAACTAGCGAGCCAAGCAACCAGCCAGCCACTGAACGGTGGGATACGGCCCAAAGCGATATGCCAGGGTCCACGTTGACTCAACTAATCGCACATCCTTCCGCATAAAATGTCCTGCTTGCCACGCTCATAGACACTTTTTACAACATTACAATGGGGTACATAGAATACTGTATGCTCTTTGTCTTAATCAATTGTGATTTTTGACTTGTTCTTGGAAGTGAAATTACTGCGTGATTCTTTTGATCAATGGACATTATTATTCAGTATATTGAACATGAAATAAATAAACAAGTTTTTGGTAAATAATTGTGTATGAAAAACTGAGTTTCATATGGAAAATCAGTGAACAGGAGAAGGCGGAGTATTTCTTCGAACTGTGAACTGAATTATAAAACATTTTAGTTTAGCCTAAAAACCAAACGCATCTAAAACTGAACAGAAATATATTTCTTTCAAAAAAACCTGCCTTTCAATTAGAAAGCTTTTTGGGGTAGATTTCTTGATCTTTGTTAGCTAATTTTCAACTGAATTATTTAATTTCAACTTAGGCTAAATTGAACGGAAAAGTTCTAATCAAACGAACATTTTTATGTGGAAAACTAAGCACACAAGCCGCTCGCTTGGGGGAGGTCTTAAAAGTGCCTCGACCTGCCGACAGCTTTTCCAAGCCTTAAAAGAGTATTACAAGTGCGTTCTGTCTGGTTCTCAGTTTTCCTTTAACTTGTGCTCATATGGTCTATTGCGCTGTTTAGGTGTCGCCTCCGTGTTGCTGTAACGTGAGGGCTTTAGTGTCCATGGCAAGGATCTGGCCACAGACGCCCCAGTGTCGCCGCCAGAGAGAGTGAGCCGCAATTTCAGACCAGAGTCCCAGCTCGGCTTATCTCAGCTGCTGTTGCTCCACTTGCTGTTGTTGTTGTTGTTGTTGTTGTTGTAGTCATTGCCGGTCGCCCTTTGTATACATTTAATTTGTGTTTTGTTATTTACATTAACCAAGGCAACGGCCAGAGCAGAGACTGCCCACCAACCAAACCCCCAAACCCAACCCTGGACTTTGGCTCTCGGGTTGTTTTTGCTTTTAGCACATTTTCTATATGTTGTGTAGGACATGGCCATAGTTGACCCACACACATACACCCACAGGGATAAACACAGGGAGCTAAATGCTGGACAGAGGCTCCTGCCCTTCGGGCCGTTTTTATGTGCGCTACGTGCTCAAAATAAATTTTCAAATGTGTTAACGAAACTATTTGACATTTAATTAGTTTGTGAGTTGCATGCATAAAGATTTGAAGAACGTAGCTCGGGACCTTTTCAATTTTAGCGGCTGCCGCCTTAGTTAATAGCTGCGCCAACATTATAATTAACGCGGCCCACGAATATATATATGCAGAACTAGAAGACAGTAGGCCGTTACTTGAGCCAGCTAATTGCTGACTGGGAATCGCAGTCGCACGTGACTCACCTGTTGCCGCGGCTAATGCGAGAAACGTGTTCAAAATGGCGCGCTCGCCGCCGGAGCCCGAGGCCAGCACCGAATTGAAGCTGGGCCAGTATACCCAGAGGAAGGTGGTGCCGATCATAGCGAATATATCGGATGCATAGTTGGCACCCTCGTGCTTGCCGGCCTCGTTCTGGTCACTCGATGGGCGCAGCATCAGGGCCACGGCCAGGCCAAAGTAGGCGCCAAATGCGTGCACCGTAATGGAGCCTCCACAGTCGCAGATCTGTCGAGTAAATGCAAATAATTAAAGCGCTGATAAGGGCTCTATTTATACTCTATTCATACTCTAGCAGAGGGTCTTTTAGTTTTGTAACGACTTATGTAACCTTTGGAAGAAGACGCATGCGATATTTTTCGACAATCCTGGCTGGATCTATCGAAACTCGATATAACATATTTTCAAATAATCCCATCGAGTGGAATTTTATTTTAAAAAATCTTTCTTCATTTGAGACGTGTTTCACATTTTGTGAGAAATTTACCTCCGAATGAGAAAAGTATGAAGAAAAGGTCAAAGTTTGTAGGCGCAAAGTTTTCTTTCAATTAACTTTATTTTATTAGAGTTAATTTCAAAACTGAATTTTGGGCATTTTGTGAATCCCATTTTAAGAGATCTTTGTAGAGCTTCATTTGAGACGTGTTTCACATTTTGCGACAAAATTTACCTCCGAATGAGAAAGGTTCGAAGTTTGAAATTTGAAGAAAAGGTCAATGTTTGTAGGGGCGAAGTTTTCTTTAAATTAACTTCGTTTTATTAGAGGAAATACCAAAACTGAATTTTCTGGAAAATAAATGAAATTTCATGATAAATATATTGTCTATTAATGGAATTAATATCCTCACATCTAGTGGGAAAGTCATCAGGGCGAATCATTTTCAGGATTGTTAACGCATTTTCAAGTTTATTTTCAGTTTTGATAATGAATGAAAAATGGTATATTATTTATCTGATATGTTGTTTGACTTGGAGCTTATTTATTTATATATTTTTTTTAAATATTTCACTTTTTATTTTGCACTGGAATGGATCAGTACCTTCTGATCTCTAGCAAGCGAAGAAGTGTACTGTAGTGTAGTGTATATCTTGTAGCCTTTGGAGGCGCATCTCTCTCTGACTTGGACATTAATGTAGCATGACTGAATGGGAAATCTGTAAAATCTGACTACGTTCTCGATTAGTATAAATAGTGGAATAGTAGTAGCCAGACGGTCTACTTTATCGCATAGCTATATCCCATCAAACTTACATAGGAACAATCGGTTAGAGATTAACTAACTGCCTACCTACGAATAACCTTTGAGTTATTCAATAAAGCCCAACAAAACTCACCAATTTAGAGCTTCATCAAGCTTCTATAGTCTTTAAATTACGCTATGCCCTTTCAGTTTTTATATTAATACATTGCTGTTTATTCAATTGATACATTTATGTCTTATTGAACGTGGATAAGTTTTCCTATTACACTAAACGTCCTAACCCGACCTCCTAATGCCCTAATGCTCCTCTTATCACGGTCTATTGCTTGAAATGTGTTTTGTCAGCCGCTACAGGCTCTAGACGATATCTCCATCCGTCAGAGTTACCAGCCCTATATATCCATAATCATAATATAATCTAAATCGAAGAGAATTGTTCAGATTGCAACTGCAAGTGTATTTGATATTCGGCAAACCGAAGAGAACTGCTCTGTCTCTAATCTCGTTTCACTTACGCTGAGCACATTTAGGGCCAGATATTCGTTGGCCGCAAACAGGGCCACCTCAAAGATGGACATGCACAGCAGCTGAATGGGCGTGGTCCGGCCCAGAAGTGCGCCCATGCTGATTAGCGGCACGGCGGCGGCAATGTCCGCATCGATGATGCTCTCCAGCGAAAGGCTGCAATGAAAGACGAGCGTCAATACGGCAAATGGAATGTAAAGCAAATAGCTAAAAGTGTGTTTTATTTATTTTATTTTTTATTCACAAGACCTTGCCCCCTGGCCGTGTTTGCTGTGGCACTTAGTCGGAGTACGTCCGCCTGGCCCGACTCAAGTTAAAGTAATTGCATGAATTCATTATATCTTGGGTATATATTTTTCTCTTAATTTCTTTAACTTATTGTTTGGCGGGGGAAGCAACCCACACGAATGCAATTAATTAATGGGCAATTACTTAGATTAGAGTTGCAAACTCACCTGATCTTGCCGCCTTCCATGTGCAGGAAACCCTTCATCAGGACGGACCATTGCACGACCAGGGCGGACATGAACAGCGTATAGCCCGTGGCGCTGTAGCCGTATTTGCGCAGAAAGGTCATCAGAAAGCCAAAGCCAATGAATATCATGACCTGAACATCCTGAAATTCTGTAAAGAGCAAAGGTTTTCCGGTGGGTCGATTAGTGAGACGAGACGGCACGGCACGCCTTGGCACGCTTATTAATTGAGTCAAGTCGTTTCAATTAGTTGCCCAATTGTCTGCTGCCAAAAGTCAATTGCATTGAGATTGATGTCACCGGGCCCGGCGGAGTCGCAGCCAGAGCACGGCGCAAGCCCGAACACGGACACGGACACGTTAGCCGATCGTGTGCATGTGTGCGGGTGTGTGTGTGTGTGCGGGTGCAATTAGTGTGAAATACGTTTTAATTTATTTATTATGAATTGCAACAAGTTGTTTACAGACGCATTTGCATAAATTGAAATTAATGACTTTAATTATTCATTTGTGTGTGTGTGCGGCTTCTCGTTCAATTTCTGGCTGGCAAAAGTAATTAATGCAATTGCTGCCGCGGCACTTTAAGGAGACTATGCGAATCGAAAAATAGCTTTATTTATTTATGAAATGCCAGCACTTGCCAAATGCATGCCACTCACAACTTATTCGCCAACATATTTGTGTGAGATCTTTGGCATGGGTTATGGGCATCTGACAGACCCAAAGCTATTTTAATATGTAGGCTTAACTGAAGCTGGGGCCTTGCTCTTTCTTTTAGTTGTAATTAATTTTTAAATATTATATTAAGCAAGCATTGCAAATTATTTTTTATGCTACCTACGCCCAGGGAGTAGTAGGTGATTTTGACAAAGTACGAACTGACGAATGTCGGAACATGGGTCGAAAGTCATTTCAGATATTCAGAGGGAAGAGCTGAACATTTTGGAGGATGATACGCGTAGGCTTTGCCTTAAGAGAGGAGAAATTGCAGAGCACATTCTGGGAAGACTCTCTCAGCTTGGGGTCAAGTTCTTTAAGCTTACTCTCTCTCATGAGATCTTTTTATTCGGCGAAAATCAGTGCACCTTTGCTTATGATGGGACAGCACAAAGGGCTATATCCATTCTATATCGATTCCAGCGAAAAATGAAACATATTAGAATGCTTAAAAAAAAGATAATTTTTTACAAGGCAAAATGCATCCAAGTGTTCGCATATTACCTAAATTTGCAAAACGTCAAAGTTTGTAGGAAAATATCAACAGCTACGTGGCTTAGATGTCTGAGCATCGGACTATTGAGAGGTTGCTGGTTCTAATTGTAAAGAAATTGTAGATTTTTATATAAATGTGCTTTGCGGACGCCAGCGTGGCTCAGACATCTGTCTGAGCATCGGTCAAAGAATTGAGAGGTTGCTGGTTCTAATTGTAAAGCAATTGTAGGTTTCCTATATTTGTTCACTTAGTTTGTTATGCATTTATTTATTTATTTATCTATTTATGGTTGATAAAAACGAGTGTCTCCCCAATTATTTAATACATAAAATTATGAAAATTAAATGCAAAATCTTGATGGAAGTTTCATTTGCCCGTCTGCCCAGCCTGTTCCCTTTTCACAGCTAATTTTGTCAGTTACGTTATTAGAGCCTACAGCTAAGAAAGAAGCTGTTAGTAGAGAAAATATTTACAAGCCAAAAAGTAAACTAACATATTTATATGAAAACCATATTTTTATTCACGTGTTGTGAATTTGAGCTGTGTTATGTGCTTCCCTAAAAAAAAGCGTGAAAAACACAAACAATTTTCATACAACTTCCATTTTTAAAAAAATTCATTTGATCGCGTCTCTTGTTAATTCTCTTAATAACAATAATATATCATATGAGGATTTTTGTTTCTTTTTTGTTTGGTGACAGCGAGCTTCTACCTTCTAGTGCTCATAAATTCTTGGCGTTACATTTTTCTTTTAATAGTTATCTGGCTGTGCGCCCATTTAGTTGGTTGTGTCTCTCTCGGAAATTGTCCATAAAAGCTTATCAGCTATAGATGTCACGCAATCGCATCAAGACAAGTGGCGTTGATATTGTTGCCCCCATTGACTGACAGCTCCCCCGGACCGGACCGGACCGGACCGGACCGAAAGTAAAGTGCGGATAAAATGCCAATCTTGCTGACAAGTCAACATTAAGTCACCAGGCTCAGTCATTAGCGGTCACTCGTTCCGTTTGTCCCCCTTTTCTGAGTCGGCCGCTTGTCAATTAGCTGTTGATTATAAACTAACTATTTATGTGTTGTATCAGCTGGAAATTGTATATAGGGCATGGCGAGGCACATGGAGCATATTCTTGGTCAAGTTCAAATAAAGTTTCTTTCTCTAAAATTGCCTCTTGGTATATACAAAAGTTTGTGTGTCACACGAACACATGGAGCATATAGATTTTTGATCGAGTTCAAATAAAGTTTCTTCCTAAAAAATTGCCTCTTGGTATATACAAGACTTGAAGGTCACACGAACACATGGAGCTTATATATTCTTGGTCAAAATCAAATAAAGTTTCTTCCTCAAAAATTGACTTTTTGCTTTACTCTATACAAACATTTGACTGTCATCTTTAAGTACTGCAATCGGACGACAGGAGAAAGGTTTTCCTTCAGAGCTGTCTATAGGGTATCTGCTAGTCAAATACTCTCCCTTAAATCACACTCACTTGTGTTTTCAACGCGCTTAGTCACATTATGAACAAACTTTAACGTGTTGCGTCTAAACAATGAGTTGGCGATGACAACAGGCGGTAACAGGTGCAACCGGAGCACAATAGAAACAAATGGAAATTGCGATGATAGCTACTCACGCGGATATTTTGAAACGTGTTCGTTTGCTGATCCGGCGTCTTCAGCGCCGAGCTGCGACGGCATGGCGGACTTTTCGTAACGCACGAAAAGCCAGAATAGCAACAGGAAAACTATTTGCACAATCAACAGGACAACGTAGCCCGACACTTTTGCAGCCGGCGTATGCATGTCGCAGTTCGTAAAACGTAAAGGAAAAAAAAACACGAAAAAAAGTGTACAATAACCCGCAGCGGATGCCGTTGGAGTCGTTGTCGATTGGAGTTGTGCTGGTTCAAATCCGCGTCGTAGCCGTTGCAGCACGCGTGTGGATACGCTGGGGAATTAGCAGCAGACAGGAAGTCTCTCTCCCTCCCTCTCTCTCTCTCTCTCTCTCTCTCTCTCTCTCTCTCTCTATCTCTCTGTTTCTCTGCCACAAATATTTTTGCGCTGTTTAGTTTTCGCACAGCCAAACGCGAGGGACTGGAGGAGGCGGCGGAGGAGGCAGCACGTTCTTTACATGGACGATCTGCTGCCGCTGAGCGCAAAGCGTGTACTGATGCCCAGCGCTTGGTGCGAGCCTCGCAAGTAGAGTTGGCTGTCCGTTTCCGTTCGAGGCAGCGCTGCTTTTGCGCTCGACGGGGCGTATGTGCGATATATCCACGGCGATTTATTCGCATGATATAACTATTTGATTTCATTTGCCGCCGCTTCAGCCTCAGCTACAGCTACTGCTACTGCTACGGTTGCCTCCATTTCTGCACTCGCTGAATTATTTAGCGCAAAGCTCCCCCTCCCCGCTCAAAACCAACCCCCTGGCCACAAAATTTACATTGTACGTTCGCGTAGCTTCTAATTTATTTAAATTGTTTTGTTTTAGTTGCATTCTAATTTCAATTTGAAATCGTTGCGTGGTTGCCTTTAAATGAAAAAGTGGTCATGTCTTTGCGGTGTTGGCACACTGCGAGAAAAATATAGAGAATTCTCTTCCCAAATCAAGTTCGAACTTTGTCAAAAGTAAGTCCAGTTCGTCTTTACTTGGGCTGAGCATGAAATTTAAATGCCAAGTCCATTCTCATAGAGTTCTCTGAGAGTATCTAAAGAAGAGAACAATCTCATCTACTGAATTAATATTCTTAGCTGCTTTTATCTTATCTTCAGATTCTCGTCTTATATGGCAAACAATTTTGTCTTATCTTCGAGTTCATGCTGTTTTTTGGTCTTCTGCAAAGCACTTTATCTTTCTTATTATTACCCACGAAGTGAGGCATTTTATGGCACTTAAAAACAAATTAGTTTCAGTTAATTAAAATATTCTTATATCATAAGAAGGGTATGATGCTTTTGGGGCTAATGATGTAACAAGCAGACTGAAGCATTTCTCTGAACCCATAAAGCATATTTAATCTGGATCAGGGGGATCTACCCATGTTGTACTACCGTCAGTTCTTTTCTGAGACCAAAGCAGTTTTGTTAAATTTTGCATCTCGATCTCAATCAAGTTTTTCTCTTAGTGTATTAATTCGTCAGGCATGCGTGCAACTTGCAACTGCTTAAAGTTTGATATTATGATTGCCGTGGCCCAAGGAAAATTTCGCTGCCTTTTGCCGGAATCGACAAAGAGACTCAGCTGAGCACTTGCTGTGGTTAGATCTAATCGCATTGTTGTCTTTGGCTGCTCGCCACAAGGCAATTAGCAGGCTGTCAGCAACAATTGCCCATAAAGTGCTTTAACTACGGCGCACAACTGGAGCAGCTGATCGGCCATTGATGATGAGAATGCTCCACAGACGGCGGGCCCCCTCGCCAAGCTGACCAGCCCAGCCCAGGCCAGCCGTGCCCCATCCCCGAAACAACAATTGTCATTAACAGTTTTTAGTAGTTTAGTGCGAAATTAATGGGCACAATACAGCCCGACCGAGTCACACATCTATGCGAAAGAGCCGCGAACTCAAATTGGGTTTCGGGCATAAATATAAAACCTAATGTGTGAATGGGCTACAGTTGGCCTTACGAAAAGATATCGTATAATAAATATTTTATGAAGTTTATAAATGAGATAAGCTAACATAAAGTTTATATAGTTTAGCAAAAAGAATATTACATTGGACTAGAGCAGAAGCATAAATATCGGATCAATTGGCCGAGATTAAAGCCCGAGTGGTATTAATAATCCCTTCCTTTTATAGTCATCTATCTATATCGGAGTGTGTTATCAGAGATAGTTTTATACCCTGAACCCATTGAAAATGGGTAAAGAGGGTATAATGTATTTGTGCAAATATATGCAACAGGCAGAAGGAAGGAAGCATCTCCGACCCTATAAAGTATATATATTCTTGATCAGCATCAACAGCCGAGTCGATCTAGCCATGTCCGTCTGTCTGTCCGTCCGTCCGTATGAACGCAAGGATCTCAGAACCTATAAGAGCTGAAATTTTATCTGAAGGTCCTCCTAGTGCTCGCGCATATCGAGTTTGTTTCCGGTATTCGATAACTTGCCCCGTTTCCAAGTAATCGATAAAAATCGATATCGAAATCCTGTTTTTTGAGCAATTTCGGCAAATAATAAGAGCTAAAATCACCAAACTTGACATGTAGCTTCTATAATAGTATACATATATCAAATATCTTTAATTTTATACCTATCGCCGGTTGGAGGAAGAGGGTTCAGGGTATTCCCTAGTCGGGAGCTCCCGAATAGAACCTCTGACTTGTTTCATACAAAGTTTGATCACATTTTCTCACTTGCAAGTCGAATTTTCTAGGCACCATTTAAGTGCCATTTTTTTTGTACATATAGAATATTTAATTAGATTTCTTTATTATTATTCTATTGCATCCATGGCCTTCGGCTAAAACAATAACCCATCCATATACTCTAGCTTGGGACTCCCAACCGAAACCGGAGCCTTTTTGTTAATTTCTCATATTTGCTTTTCATTATTTCTATCTTTATCATCTCTGCGAACTGCTCTCTAATATATTAATAGCACTTATATAATGGACTAATGATAAAAATCAACAACATTTAACTAATTACCAAAGAAAATAGTATAAAAATTAAAAAGTGCGCGCTAAAACAGAAATAAACTCAAACAAAATAACTTGTCGCAAGCCAAAAAGGGGGAAGAAGCTTTTTGTGTGGGGCTGCTGCTGGGGCGTATGATTGATATTTATTTTTTCAACAAACACAAGCACCTGTGCTAAAAATTGAAATTCTCATGGCAGGGCAACAATAATAAATAAAAAAAAATAAAGCAAAGCAAAGCAAATCGAGAAACCGACATAAGAAAATGTGTGAAGTTGGCGCAAAAACCGCAAATGTTGCCAGGCACGCGCTGGTAAACGCTCTCGGATCTGTGAAACCGAGCAAAAAAAAACCCTAAAAAAAGAAAAGCAAAGGCAAAGCAGGGTAGTTGGTAGAGAAGTGGGACTTGGTGTACTATATCAGAGCCATTTGGTTCTACGTTTTGTCTGTGTGTGTGTGTGTGTATTGCTCCGGCTGCCTACGCTACATACTTGGGCAAAAATTTGCATCCGCAATCACTTTAAATGTTTCCGTTTGAATACGCAAATAAATCGAAAAGGATTTCCAATGAATGCTTATGAGTGTGCGCGTGCCCCCCTCATCCCTCCTCACCACAACTCTGGCACCTGCCCCTCGCTTGAAACCCTTGTTAATGTTGTTGTTTACAACAAGTGTACATGGCTAAATCCGTGCCAAAGCACACCAACAACAACAGCAACAAAAATTGATAACATTGTAAAACGGCTGCCAAACTGTCAGCTGCTGCTCTGCTCCAAGATGCAGCCCCCCGTCGCAGCCCCCCTCTAGCTCCATCTCCATCCACATCTTCATGCGGCTTGTGGTCAGTCTGGGGCTAACAAAAATATATGTATATACTTGGGGGCTTATGCTGAGCCATAAATAAATATGAGCGAGTCTTTCCTGACATTGCAACGGGGGCCAGCAGCAATGTTGACGATATGTTGATAAACTTTAACACTACCGGCTCAGAGACACACACACTCACAAACACACACACAGCCTGGCAGAGACATACAAAGGGTATTGCGAGTTGCCATGCCTCACGTAAATCGACATACATATACATATTTAACTTCATTTTTCTACACTTGCTGAGGCTAATAAATTGTTAAATGTGTAACGTATATAAGAAAAGAGCTTGGATATCATTATCTATATATTTTTTTGAGATCTGACTACTTTCTCACCATATAAAGTGTTCGGCAGAACTCTTCTCTCCAAAATCAGAAGTTTGCTCTGTCGAGTTTTCTTACCAAAGAACCAACTCGAGCTGAGGATTTCTTTGCCAATCTTTCTGGTTCCGAAGAGAACGGAATGTAGTCTACAATGGATCCATATTGGTCTTACTGAGTCGAGAGTAAACGGCCTTCGCCTCATGTGTTAATCAAACCTGAGCTAGGATCAGTTTTTAAAGTCTATTATGCTGAAACTTTCAATACTCGTATTACAAAATCCTCCCGAATGATCTGATGTACCATATAGATTGTTTAATCATGATTGGAACAGAATTTTATATCAAAAACCTTTGTTTTCAAGATATCCAAAAGTTTCTGAACCTTGCATTCACTTGTATAAAAAGATTCTCTCATAAAGGACTGCCTGATCAACGCGCATTTTACTGGGTCAAGTGTATGAGCGCCGGACTAACGAAAAGAAAGTCGCCGATTCGAATCCAATAGCACATATGTCACATATTGGAGAAAAATTCGTATATAGTAAAAAGAAATGTTAGAAGTATCAAGCGTTATGCAAGCACTTGTCCGTGAAAGCGATTGTAAAAACACGTTTGGCTATTTTTTAAAACGCGCTGCAGCTCTTACCATAGCACAGCAGCATCCGTCTATAGCAAGAGCAACAAGAAGAGGAGCATCAGAGCCAAACATCGTCGCCGATGTGCAGGGCCAAGTCTTTTGTGTGGCTTTGTTATGCCGACCCAAAGTATCCTTCAGGCTCTCGCTGCCTGACTGGCTTTGCTGGCATTTGTATCGCCGGCTCTTTGCCCTCTTTTGGGGCGGGGGCTTTTTGGGAACTTGGCTCCGTTACACAAATTTCGACTGGCCCCCAGACTCTGCCCCAGCGCCTGCCCCACTGCCTGCCTGCATGTGTGTGTGGTGTAGCCTGCTATTGTGGCTGCTTCTGCTGCTGCTGCTGATGCTGCTTCTGCGGGTGGTTGCGCCTAAACGATTTGCTTTTTGTCTGTTTTGTGTCAATTTGAAATCCGCTTTGGTTATGCGGCTGCAGCGGCAGCTCTACCAGCCACGCCCCTTTCGGGCCCCCTTATCCCTTGGATGCCTCGACGATGTCGTGTTGCCATAGCAAAGCTTTGTTGGCATTTACAGCTACTTGGCTGCCATGGCAGCGCATACTCTACTCCAGCTTCAGCTTCAGCTTCAGCTGTAGCTCAAGTGCCGCTCGGGGATTTATCAATTGCGTTTATAACAAATTTCGATTTGTCAGCGCAAAGCGGGCAACTTGCGTTCGTTTACAGCCAAGTGCCGTCGAGTGCCCGCCGCA